GGCCCTGTGAAGTTTATCCCATGTGGCCCTGATGCATTTTGATGCTGATATTTTCTGACGGCAAAGCACAAAAGGAGAAATAGAAAGTGACAGGTCAAACAGGAGACTTTTTCCCTCATGGCTTTCCTGCACATCCCTGCAGTTGAGAACGGGGTTGTTAATGCCCATCAACAGAGACCCAGAGCAGTGAAGGGTGCTAGGTTATGCCATTGTTAATGTGCTTGAGGATACACAGGAAACCAAGGACAAGTCCAGGTTGAGGTCCTTTTGACACTTATCGTTAGTTAGTAGTGCAGAAATCACCCAAGAGGACCCCTTCTTTCATTATGCTAGAGAGATTAGGAAAAATAGTTTTAAGGAGGAATTAAAATACACAGTTATGTGAAATATTCTACCAGGCACAGAACTGCAAAACTGAACTCTAGAGAGTAAACCAAGAGTTGAGAATCTAACATGTTCTTTTTTCATTTCTCATGAGTTCTGAGAATTGGAAGGATCTTGGAAATAATTAGCCTGATCCCCTCTTTTATGTAAAGATGAGGAAACTGAGCCCACAGGGAGAAGGACTTACCAAGGGTTACACAATAACTGGCAGCAGAACTGTGGCAGGATGTTGGCAGACTAGCCTTCTTGAGAAGGATGACTTCATGGTGAGGACAATGAAGGCACACACTCTGAAACAGGGGTGTGGATGGAGGTAGGTGCTAGGGATCTGTGATACAGTGGCCCAACAGAGGCTGCTCTTGGACAAGCTATGTGTCTCCGAGGTGGGGCAGAAATGAACACAGCTCCTTGCTGTCGGGAAATTTCCCTGAACCTCAGAAGAGTTCTGCGTTCTGTCCTGCTGCTTTTAATTTATAGTTAGTCTTGAATAAAGATCAAGCACCATCAGCAGGGGTGCAAGGCTCTCCACCATTAACCTGTCAGCTCTAATCAGCTCTGGTTCCTAGTCATGCTTCTCATTTTGGGGGAAAATAAAAGTGGAACCAAATGGGTGGCTGCCCATCTGAATGTGTACAGAACTAGTTGGAACCTTCAGCATCTCATTGAACGGAGTCTCAATATTCTCTAAAAAATGAAGGGAGATGAACGACACACTGTGTTCTTTGAAATGTTCCTTTTCCATTCACTGGGCTGCTGTGAGGAACTGTTAGGTGATGACTGCAGAATGTACGCAAATTATAAGATGTTATTACCATCACCCAAAATTTATTCATTTATGGGGTACTTCTCAGGACACATTTTAGGGGCTTGTTAGCATGATTTGTTACATTTTTTCACCCAGAGAAGCAGAGGAATGGAGGGTTAAATTGGGGTTTCCCAGTTGAGAGCTGGAGAGGAACTGCAGGCTCTCAAAGACCTAGTGTAAGCTCTGTGTACTATCCTCTGACCATATGTCCTTGGTTTGCATTGGAACATTTTAATTTGTGTCATTTGGGAAAATAGATCAATGGTTGGGGCAGAATCAAAAGTTGTAGCCTGGATTAGAATTTCTGATGAAAAGTGACAAAAGACCTATTGTTTTTGCCAAGAGAAAATTCTTTACAAAGTCCCGTTTTTCTATTTTTGTGTTTTTGCTTATTAGAATTCCCATTTTCAAGCTTTATTAAAAAATTTGTCACTTCTTAACTAGACAAAAGAACTAGAGAATACAATTTATTTTTAAAATTACCTTTTGATTTTAAAATACTATGCACCCATGGATTTGCAAAGAAAATATATAAAAGAAAAAAACACATTAATATTCAGAGATAACAGCTGAAAATGCTTAGTTTATTTTTTTTTGTCTTTTTATATGGACTTGAAATTACATTTCTAACACCCACAAGGTATCTTTGTGGGGTCTCTTAAATATTTAAACCCACAAATATCCACAGGCTACATTAGGTGCTGCTCTCCTGGAGAGAAGACGCAACTTCCAGCAGAGCAGTATAGCACAGGTGCGTAGAGACTACACACGCATTAGAGAATGCAAAAGTCACCTGGGTGTCCAATAGAGTCAACACATGGTGGTGCCATACCATAGATGTAGGTTTTGGGGTCCCACAGTGGACACAATGGTAACTAAAGCTGGGAATAATAGCACTGCACTCTCTCAGGTAATAATAGCTCTCTGAGAACAGATGTAATTCACCCATATAGGGTCAATTTTGCCTAGTGACATAGTAGATACAGATCATTTTCTCAGGCAGGAAATTAAGAAATGGTCAGATTCTCTGATCAAAAAGAAATATTTTACCCATAATTCAATTTTTTTGTGTGTTTTAAAAAAGATGAAATTATGAGCATGTTCCAATACAATTTAAGGTGTTTGAAATATGTGTTTAACCAGTCCTTCAGTATTGTGTACTAAGCTAGTTTCACATATTTTGCTATTAAAATTATTGCTGAGATGAAAATACCTATATACAAATCTTTGTATAAAACTGATTATTTCCATTCCCTAGATTTACGTTAAGGAAACAATGACTGGGTCTGAAATTTATAAAGCTTTTAAGACATCTTTGACAAGCTACTCTTTAGAAAAATAGACTAGAATTTGTATGAAACTATGCTCTTTTTAAATATCTGCTGATTTTATACTAAGAAAGTTCTGTATCTTTAAAAATTATGGGTTTTGTGACTGCTGATAAGTTTAGAAATGCTTATATGAAGTCTACTAATTGTTAAGTGGCTATTCTTGTTCTTTCTTATTTTTACTTTGGAAAGCTTACCTTTCACTTATTAAGGATATTTGAATATCATCCACTGTAAACTTTTTCAGTCTTTATTCACCTTTCTTTTGATACAAATTTTTATTTTTAGGTAGATAAATCTTCATATTCTTTTTTTATATGCTTATATCAACACTCCTGAGGTTCTTGGTACTACCGAGGGTATTTTTTTGTGTGTGTGTGGGAATTACACAGACTTTCCAAGTGTTGGAAATCAATATTTTTGTTTACAAATATGCATTGAAAAGTTTTTTTTTTTTTAGGATCTGGAACTTTTTACATAGTTTTAAGGCATTTTTAGTATACATTTTCATAGAAAGTTATCAATTTTATTGAGATGTAAGCATTTATGGGCACAGAATTGTACATACAATTTAAGTAGAAATATAGCATAGATTTTGACAGGATTCTTTTTTTCTTATATATTCTTTCCTTTAGCTATTTTTAACTTCTGTCTTTCTTACATTAAACTAGCCAGGAATTTTTTACTTTAATAATTCTAATTCTTTGAAAGATAAATAGAATCAAAACAATAGCTTCTAATTTTAATTTTCTGTTCACAATTCTTATTAATCTGTTTCCCTCTTTTTTTTTAAATGGAAAAAGTCTCTACAATTACAAAAATAATTATAGAAGAATCTAGACAATGATAAGTGATGTTTTCCTCTCCTTCCCTGGATTACTGATATGCACATCTGAATACACAGGAAAATAATGCTTATGAGACAGGAAGAAACTGCCTCTGATTCTAGGCAGAACCCAGTCTGGCTTCCTGGTTTTACCCAGGGTGTGTTGACTTGTGTGGTAAGAAGCTTTCTCTTATTTTTTAGGCAGTAAGAAAGGATAAGGTAAGAGGGCTGGAGAGTTTAGTCTCCTTCTGGCCAGGGCCCCCCTCTTGGTACTTTAGAATAGGGCAGAAGAGGTACTGTGGGCATTCTCAGTGGAATCTCATTCTCTTCCACTGGAGGAAGTGTGGTCTGGAATCCAAAAGAGGGCAAAAAATAATATCCAGCCAGGATCTTTGTTCCATACTCTTTATCATTTAGTACATGCCAAGCACTACATGAAGTCATTTTTAAGCCCCATAATAACTAATAAGACAACCAGTCAATTATTCTCATTTTGTATGGGAGGGATCAGTATGGTGACTTGTCCAAAGTCACACAGCCAGGATATAATCCAGTGATGTTGGACTGTAAAGCCCATGTTCTTAACCCTGATCATGTCACAGCCTCTCAATGCTCTCCTGAATCCCTACAGCATACTCTTATTATTTCAGGGGGAGCTTTTGTGAGCCTGGGATCAACGATCCAAATGAATTTGTAGTTTCGTGACTCATTATGTCTATATTATTTCCCCTCAAAATTATATTCCCCTTTACCATGCTTTAGCATGGAAAACATTGCCTTGAAAATGACACTTGAACTGAATGTCCAAGCAGTGGGGACACTCCTCAGCATGCCAGTTCATTTAATCCCCCAAAGAGTAGAGGGTACGTAGAGGGGAGGTGGGAGAGTTGGGGGTGGCAGCTATTAGAAAAGATGAAATGGTACTGAGATGATGCCCCAACTAATCTGACCTTGTAACATATTTAGACACAGAAATGCTTGCTTTAAAACTCACAAAAATCTCATTTTAAAAAATTAATATCTTAGTGTTAAATGATTGGTCTACAAGCTTTATGCTCTTGAAGCGGTCTCCCTTGAGGTTTGCCTGGCTAAGTTTTTGCTTGAGAGAGATAAAAGGAAATAAAAGTAGAGTTGTAACTGAATTGAATGTGATGTAAGGTGAACAGATCCAACAGTGAATCAGAGAAAATTTTGGTCAAGGGATTTCTCTTATCTCTAGCCCCTCTGGAAGTTCAAACTACACAGTAGGAGATACTGGCCAGGGGAATTCTATTTCACTCTGATCTGAGTCTTTATATCCATGCCAGCACTTACAGTCAGGGTCTCTTCTGAATACACACAGCTGTACATTTTTTTCAAGCACACAGAAGTTGTTCTGAACCTGTTAGCTAATCGTGCCTGTTGATTTATGACATTCACACATGCTTTAAAAAAATACAAATTTTTAAATCCAGATACTAAAAAGTAAAAGCCACCTAGAAAAGACAAGACCTGTTTTCATGAGAGTTTTTACACAAAGCTCCATTCACTCTGTCTTGGCTGGAACAGGATATCACTGATAAGGCTGTTGGTGAGTGCCCAGGAAGAGAGGAAAGAGGAGGCAGGAAATATTCTTTGGTATCTGGCAATAAAGAAGAAAGTCTATTTCTATACTTACAATCACAGTTGGGGTGGCAGCCAGCACGCAATAGAGCACCAGAGGGGTGATGAAGCTCTCTTCCTCTGTCCCTGGGTAAGGCTTCATTAAGTCTCCATCCTGACAGAAGAATCCTTGAATATGCACCTGAAAAGTGTCAGTGCATTCGAAGTAGTAGGCAAGCAGCACTGTCCCAGCCATGATGACAAGCTGAAAATACAGCATGGCCACACAGAGACATTAGCAGGGCTTCGGAGCAGCACACATCCCTTAGAGCACACTCCCTCCATCACCCGGCGGCTCTCCTGGTTTTGGTATTGGCAAGTGTGTGCGTGCCTGGCTCAGCGTGCTCTGGGCTCTGGGAGTGTGTGCTTTCTTGTCTGCCTGGTAACATCTGTTGTAGAAACCTTCCAGCAAATAAAACACAGCTCCCATCTGAAAGGCAGGCCACAGCCAGGCTTGTGAAGATGCCCAGCTTCTGCTGCTACACTCTCTCAGTGTGCATGGGAACCAAGGCAATGTTTCCACTCAGGACAGAGGTGAAGAGTTAAAGGGCATGGAGTCAATAGCAAGATGCGAGATCTGTTCATCAGAAATTTCATAACAGGCTAGAGGTAGACTTACCTTATAAAACATTAAAGGCAGATGAATGAGTGAGTGAATGAACAGAAAAGGAAAGTTTAAGGCCTAGAAAGGTAAAGAAAAAATTTCAGAATCATCTCCTAAATTATGAGCAGCTGTTCAATATCAGTCATAACTTTTAATCATTTTCAAAACAGTTTTGCTTTTATTCCAAAATGCTTTTGACCAGGAACCAAAAATATATCTGATCATATTTAAATGTCTTTCCTAAGGTTTAGGCACACTTATCCTTTAATTTTGATACTAATTGCCTAGAAAGTCACTGAAGTTTGGCTATAGATTTTAACAGGTATGTGGAATTGAAGGCATAGGGAAATGCAGCCTTTTTTTTTACCTCCTCATCTGTATTTGGAAAACACCAAAATGTCAAGAAAGAGACAAAGGCAGATAGAAAACAAGTCTTTGAGGTTATAAAATTGTAGAACCTTACGCCAAAAGGGATCTTGGAATTCTTCCAGTCTAACACCTTCATTTCATAGATGAGAAAACTGACCATGGGTGGCTTATCCAGCAAGTACATTATTCATGTGCTCAGATGGAGAAAATATATTCTTAAATGTCAATGTGTTCAAAGGTATCAAAATAATCATTATGAGAAAAATATAATATAACATGGTAGGACATCTTTCTTTTTCCATCTCTGGTATCAGGAATTGAACCCAGGGGTAGTCTACCACTAAGCTACACCCCAAACCCTTTTATTTTGAAACAGAGTCTTACTAAGTTGCCTGCTAAGGCTGGCCTTGAACTTGCCATCCTTCTGCTTCCCAAGGGAGGACTTCTTTATTTGGAAGTATTTATAGGACAGTGAGGGGGAAACTATCATCTTTTCAGGGTTCTGGATGTCCAAAGTTAGTCATTCCAGGGCTGGAAAAATAAACCAAAGTTACACAGATAAAATATAGTAAAACAGGGCTCAAAATCCATATTTCCTGATCTGTTAACAAAAACCTTGATTACAAGAGCTTTTTGCAGAATCTGGTGTTAATGCATTGGTGGAGACAGCCATTGTCAGGCAAATGTCCTAGTGTAAACAGCACCAGGAACACTGCAACTGGCTTTTGTGGAATCATGTAGTTTTGAGGAATTCCTTGCATAGATTCTGTCATAAGCATATAAGGATTTTTCCTTCATGGCCTTCTGGTTCCATTTTGTTAATTTGATGTGACTCCATTTTGATCCTGACACCTTGCGTAGGGACTAGACAAAAATAATGTGAGTCATTGATAATCCAAAATGGATTCAGGGAAGGAGAGCAATGCTGAAATTGTTTTTTATTTCATTTATTTGTTTCAAGATAGAAAATTGAGAAATACACATAAGCTAACACTTCTTTTAAAACTTCTCCTTTGTCTAACCACTTTGGATGCACCTGGTCCTCTAAAATATGTATATCCAGAATCATGTGTACCTGTTAGTCACCAGCTCTCCAAAGCAAAGAGTTTATTTGTATCTGTTAAGCATTTTAGGCTGACACTCCCAATGACACAAAATTGATCTCACTGTTTCATATAGACCTTCTGGTTTGAGATGGATTTGAACTGGGCTTCAAAAGAATACAGAATACAATGCTGTAATAATGTTGCAAAAAAACCAAAAACCACTGTATTCTATACAAAAGGGTAGAGAGAGATGGGGAAGGCAAAGGAGGGCGATGCCATTGCAGAGAGGCACTGTTTGGCATTCATATCCATTTTCCAGTCCTTTCCTTCAGCCACAGCATTGAAGCAGAGTCTTACACTCTGCCCACTCTACATGTAGCCTCTACCTACTCCCAGGACAATATGATTCTACTTCATCATAGTATGAAGAATGCTMCCTGTTCCTCCAATTTTCTCCCTTTCTCTGTGCCTTTCCTATCTCCCACTGCAGGGTGGCTCAAGTACAAACTCCTAAGCATCTACAGAAAGGTCTTTGTTGTGGCTGCATCTCTTTCCACCACCTTTCTTTTTATTCCAGGTGGGCCACACATCACACTCTTCATTCACCATCCTTTGTGCATAACTTATTCCTGGATCTACAAGGATTATATTCTTCCAGTGAACCTTTTCACCACCACCGCCAGTGGCTGGCTCCCCATCACAACTTCTGCCACTCCAATAATCTGTTTCTCCATGCCTGAAGTTGTTTATTGGTACCACATACAAATGTTCATCTATGCTGTTTCAAGTTATTTGTTTTCCTTATAGCAACAGGGAAGAGACTTGGATAACTGTTTCCTCTAACAGTTGCTCCAAACTGCCCTTGCCAATGGTGTGCTTGCCTCCAGCTAGCTTATAAAGTCAAAGCCCTAATGTTTCTATTTCTTTTGTGCATGGCTGGTCAACTGAATTGACCTGGTGGGAAGGAACCTAGCCAGCTAACATGAAGGTGTTGAGGTGAAATTACACTAGAATTTCAACAGTTCTGAGACTTTGCCTCTGCAGCTGCCTGTCTCCTGCACAGGGATGATCTAGGATTTTTGTGTCTTTTTTTCATGTGGCTGGAAGCATATTTCCCTCTTCCATCAATCTTAGGTCCTGCCCAACCTCTATGCAGACATCTTCTATCAGAGAATTTGGGACAAAAAAGAAACCAAAACCAAAAATGGCATCTAGTATCTTCTATTGAGGAAATTTATTCAATTTCACAGGGTGCCTTTGTGCTACCACTTCCTTTTACTAAAAAGAAAAGGGAAGTAACATAAAGCAAAACCACAGCACACAAATCAAATAATGTTATTTTTGATTCTGGTGTATTTAACAACAGCATAATCAATGTCACATGACTAAATTTGAACTCTGTAGAACAAACTGATGGATTCATTCATTTCTCTGAATGCTGCTTCCAGAATTAAATCAATCAGTTGGTTACAACACAGCCTCAGACGCTCAAAGGATAGGTGGGACCCCTTGCAGCTTATACAATAACACTGACCCCCAACATGGATCAACTTGCTGTGCCTCTTCTTCTAAGCAGCCAGACACAGTTGTCAATCTCAAGCAATTTTCAAACTCCCGGGAGCCTCCCCAATAATGCCATTTAGTGATACAAAGGAGCAAAATTAGAACAATTCAGATCTTGGATTTCTAGTGCACCTTCCTATTGAAAATTATTTTGCAACGATATATTAAAATGGAGCTGACACATTTGCTGGCAGGACAGGAGATACACATTGATTCAGCTTCCAGGAGCGAAGAGGTCCACTGGCTGCACTGATGACTGTATAATTAGCTATCGGTGCTCTCCCTTTTCCCTCCCCGGCCTGGGTCATGATCCATCACTGTCTAGGTTTATGTCACTGTGCCAGCTGGCACACTTGCCATCTCTGCTTCACTCCCCAACCCCATTTAGGGATGCATGGAGGGAGGCCATAATGTTGGTGTCACGTAAGCAGATGGTGAGGCTGTGCCGGGCCGAGTACTGGTGGAAGGGTTGAAGATGTCAGTGTGACAGAAGCAATTATGGCTGTGAAAGGATAACGAGGTCTGGAGAGCTCACATATCAGGGACTTCCTCGATTTCACTTCCCAAGAATGAGATTCTAATATAAGAAAGTGCATTAAGTGCTGAACATTCCACCAGGATTTGGAAGGCTATGTCTGAAATCCAGCTTCTCCTGTTTGAGAGGGCAGTGTTTCTATGCAGGCCCTCTGCTGATTAGAGGAAATTAAATGTCACATAGTTGAGCAAGGGAATGTCAAGTTGAGAGCAACTGTGGACCTCAAATTTAAAGACTTGATACAGGCTGTGGGGAACAGGGTGATGGGGTAGACTCAGGTGTATGTGTGTGTGTGGCACAGAGATGTGAGATCTGGTAAGGGGCATAATTCAAACTGGAGAATTTCTTTAGGATAAACACTGATGAGTGGTATAGCTGATCATATGTTGGTTCTATGCCTAGTTCTTTAGGAACCTCCATACTGATTTCCACAGTAGTTGTACTAATTTATAATCCCAGGGTGGGAAATCTTCGAATAGCATGAATGAAAGTGTAAACCAGTGTAGTATGCTGGAGTGGAAGCTCATGATAAAACTGACAGCCTTCACTGGGGACTCTTAGAAATAAGTGTGAACCTTTGAGAGGATCCAAAATGATAGAGGCAAGAACTAAGGAGGAAGATGAAATGATGATATATTATGCCTGTGTCCTAGAAACTCTTCTAAGCATTTTACATAAACCATTATTCATGGTCAGTATATTATTATTATTTTCATTTTACTTCTAAGAAAACAGGTACAGAAAAATTATATGAATTACATAAGGTCACCCAGCTCATGGGGGTGAACCTGGGATGATTACTATGAATATAATGTATCTTTCCACACAAATTCATGTGGCCTGGGGAAAACCAGATTACAAATTTGTTAGCATAACATTAAGCACTGAACTATGTGTTATATGCTTGGATGGTTTATTTAAATACCTTCAAGGGTCAGTTTCCTCATCTGTACGAAGGTTAATAACTATTTCATAACAATGCAATGAGGCATATTTTCAGATTCTCATTTTGTTCCAAAAAGGGAGTTATATTAACTTCTGCCAACTAAAGTAAAGCAGAATAAATAAACAGTAGGAACAGAGGAAAA